CCAGTCCCAACCCTTGGGCTCTCCCATGCTCCTAAAGAGCCCTTTGTGGCAGCAGGGCCCACTTCAGAACTTGTGGTGCTTCCTCGGCACCAACCCAGGACTCAGCCACTTCTCCGAGGGGCCTGGCTGCTCTTAGCAGGTAGGGTCTGAGCGCCGTGTGTGCTCGCTGTGCTTGGGCCGCAGCTGCTCAGAGCCCCTGGGAGCAGAGCTGGGAGGAGTGTGCATAGTGTGCACATGGTGTCCAGGTTCGTTCCTGAGTCACTCCACGCTGACTGACACCCGGGCTGGCCACCAACACTTCAACTCCAGTCCCCCAACAAAGGGTTCTATTCTGCTTCCCTCCCTTTTCACACGTAACTCCCTCTCTGATAGTGAGAAACGTGCTTTCCAGTATCCTGAACGTATTTCTTTAGATGCTCCTCTCCCAATACACAGTCAGTCTCCCACTGTGGGGATGGCCTCCTCACTCTCTGGAGCTCCTACCCTCCCGTCCCTGCCTGCCCAGACCACCTTTCCACCCCTCAAGCTGTGCCCCTCAGCAGGCTGCCCTCTCCATGGGCACCCCATGGGACTCTGTGCCCTTCTCCTCCACAGGGCCCACGTTGCTCTGTTACACCTAACAGCTTTAGGACTGCTCAGGATGGGGAAAGGAACGGGCTGAAATAGCTGTTTTGGAAAACACAGCATGTGAACAGGCTGTTAACAGGGAAAGGTCTGGACTACAGATAGGAGTGACTGTCACAGGGGCGCTGGAGTCAGCCACTGCTCCCAGATTCCCTCACAGCACTGCCAGGTTCTGCCGCTGCCGTCAGGCGCTGGCACGGAACAGCTGCTCGCTGCTTCGACGGGGGAGCTGCCATGTCAGCTCAGCTGCCTGGCACCTGGGGGAGCCTGCCACCTGGGGACTTGGCTGGAGGTGGGAGTCATGGAGGCCTGTCTCCTGGCAGCCCTTGTGCCATGATAGGGAGTGTCACCTGTAAGCAGGGGCACATCTATTACGAACTTTAAGTACAGTGACTTTCTCTGACCTTAACACAAATTGCAGTGTCTTTGTGGTGATTTCCAAGTTTGTTTTATTGCTAGACATCGATTATTTAGTAGACTTAATGTCCCTTCCTAGGCTGTGCAGGGACTGCCGGCCAGTTTGTACAAAGTGACTAGTCTGAGGTGACCCAAGTTTTTGCAAAGTCTGTGTTAATTTTCACATGAGACTCTCCGGAACATGTTTTGAGTAAGAAAAGGCATACCTGGCCCAAGCTGTGGTTGGCCCTTGTCAGAAATAGCTCATTCGCCTCCCTCACCGGATGACACTGGAGCCCATGTTGGACTCACGTTTTTACAACACAAATTATCTTTATCAGGCTTCTCAGAGAAACGGCCTGTTCCTGGAGTGGTACAGAGCAGTAATTGGGGGCCATATGAGGTTTAAGAAGTTTGACCCAAAAGTACGACATTGGGATTGTTTCTTTTACACACACAAACACTGATAGCCACTAGGCTCCTCTCCACTATGGAGGAAGAAGTTGTGTAGAGGGAGAGGCCCTCCGGCAACATGGAGCAGTTTAGACCCCTCTCTCCAGCGGTGCACCGAGACTGCTGGTCTCCAACCATCCAGTGAAAACACGGTGTGTGTGCCATGCGGTTTATCTACAGTATATCTACTGTTTTAAATATTTGGTTGGAGTGAATGGATTTGGTTCCATTGGCCCATAAGGCCTGGAGTTCTCAGCTCTGCCTATTGAGCTAGATGATAATGGAACATCTTCAGATGTTAGCACATCTGTGGAACAGCTGCTCCGGGCTCTAAATTAGAGTCTGGGATTGGAGGGAGGAAAGCCAGCTCTAGGCCTTGCCCCTGGATTACTCTGAGGCCTGCAGTGGGGGCCCTGCAGTGGGAACCCAGACCTCCGCCTGGGCAACAGACATTCAGGAGAGGAAAGTGGAGATTTGCCGATGGCCAGGAACCTCACAGCCTCTCTTCCAAGGCCCGTGAGAACAGCTGGCTGAGGGTTCTCCGCAGTGCCCTGGGGAGGACACATGCTGGATGGGCTTAGCCCAGAATTCACCAGCCCGTCAGGTATGGCCATCTTGGCTGCTGCCAGGATCTTGCTGGTTACGCCGTTCCTCTTGGGTGTAGTTTGTTTCAGGGGACAGCAGCTCAGCCACTCTGCACAGCGTGGTGGAGGAGCTGGTCCGATTCCGGCTCAAGGTCCGACAGTTCGCCCTGGCCACAGGAGAGGCCACCAAGGAGGCCCGGCGACAGGTGCTCCTAGAGAGGCAGCCCCTGCTGGAGGCATGCGACACCCTGCGCCAGGACCTTGCTGTCCATGGCATCAGTATTAAGGTGAGCCACTGCCACAGAGGCCCAGCGACAATGGGCCTGAAATTACTACCCTGAGATGCTGTGTGAACCAGCTGGCATCACACAAACACGGGAAGGTCAAAGCTCAGTCCCTGTGAGCACGGAAACCCACCCTGTGTTGAATATAAGGGGATGGTGTCAGCCAGGAGGGACCCTGAGCACGGGGGCACCTGGGAGAGGGTCAGAACCTGGGGGAACACTGAGGCTCAGGGACATGTGTACCCGAGGAATCAGGTGGACAGAGAAGCAGACCTGCATTCTTGCTCAGTCCCCTTTCCTGCCCCAAGTGGCCCTTCCACAGCCTGCCAATGGAAGGCAGTATCGTGACTGTTTCTAAGCATCCAGCTGCTTCCTTTAGTGCGGCCCAGACCAGCGGAAGCATCAGTGCTCTGTCACTCTGAGCCCTGACCATCTCACCCTTTTACTCCTTGAGCCGAGTGAGCCTGCTCAGCCAGGACCTCCTTTCTCCCCTCTAGGACAGGAGCAGCACATCCACCTGGGAACTGCTGGGTCAGAGGTCAGAAGACCACAAACCTGGGAGCTGAGATGTGTGAAGCGGGAACCACAGGCTCACAATGCGGTCTGTGCTTGCTTGTCACTATAGAAGCTTTACATTAAAGTTTTCCGTTGTGGCTATTTAGTCAACATTAAAATAAATCACTTATAAGTATGACACATGGACATGAACTAAAGGGGGGAAATGTAGGTGGGAGGGGGTGTGCAGGGTGGAAGGGAGTGAAGGGGGGAAATGGGACAATTGCAATAGCATAATCAATAAAGTGTATTTAAAAAAACAAAAAAAATAAATCAAACTGATACCATCCCACTGGTGTGTTACTAACTATGGCTAAAAATTGATTTTTTTTTAAGTTTTTATTTGGGAGAGGAGGGAAGGGAGGGAGAAAGAGGGAGAGAAACATCAATGTGCAAGAGATACATTAATCAGTTGCCCCTCACACGCCTCTTGCTGGGGACCTGGCCCGCAACCCAGTGCTCAATCCACTGAGCCACACCAGCCAGGGCTAAAAAATAGATTTCTTTGTAGTACCAACAGCTGCAGATTCAAGTGCAGTTTAATCAGCCAGCCTGTGTCCGTGAGCCCAGCGCCCAGGATGTAAGTCTTAAATGGGAGTCTCAAAAGACATCATAGGAAGGCAGATAGCACCTGTGAATGGGGAGAGCAGGGCAGCAGCTTCCAGGACACCCTTATTCCATGGAGACCTTGGGGGTATCTGGCTGTGCTGCCTGGACCTCAAGTGCTGGGCAGTGATGAACTAATGGTCATTCTGGAGGGGTTGGAATGGCAGGGGTGCGAGCAAGACACAGGGGTATGACAGGAGGCCAAGTGCACGGGAGGGTGCATGGTGGGGAGCTGTAGCTGTTCAGTGAACTGGAAGGATAGAGGGTGACCCTCTTGCAGATTCCCCTAGCTTTCAAGTCCTGGCCGGGTGCAGCCTCAGGCAGCAGGTAAGCTCATTCTGGGCACAGTTGTAGATAGCTTGGTGTGGCTTGGCAGCTATGTTCACTTTGTCATTTACCTTCATGACCCTCAAAGGCATTGGTGTTCCTAGTCTACTGATAAGGATGCTGGTTTGGAAGCTGACTTGTTAAAGTGACCCAATTAGCACATGGTGGAGGGAAGTCCCTATATGGCAGGCAGGTCCTTTACAAGGCGATACCCAAATAGGGTCGATTCAGGACTGTGGAAGCAGCCTGTCCCCTGATGCCTAATTGGCCCACCCAGTTAGTCCTGCTGCTATCCCGGTCTCAGGGACCCAGCTCTCCCCGTCCCAGTAAGACAGTGTGCTTAGCTAAACTAGTGGGTACTCTTGGGTTTACTAAAAAATACAAGGAAACAATTTCAAAACTTCATTTAAAAAAGTATTGGTCCCTGGCTACTTGGGTATACTTCTTATCTCCTTTTTAAGCAAAGGGATTTTGTCCTTATTCAAAGTAAAAACTTAAGTAACAAATACACAGGAATAGCACCCATGGCTGTTGGATTTCTTATGTAAAGAAATGGCAACATTTCAGGCTTATTCTTCAAATTACTTCATTTTAATAATACTGGTAAACACTGGTGAAAAAAAAACACATTAGATAAGCTTATACATTTTATCTCCCTAGTACCTGACAATGTCCTCAACTTAGGAAATTGGAAAGATGGGTTTTGGCTATTTAAGAAAAAATGTAAAGCTCTACATTGAAATAAGCCAGGTCTGCCTTTTACATCACCAGGATTTAGACACAATTCCCCAAAGGAAAAATGTCCATGAGTTTTTTTGGAGAAGTTCACATGTAGACAGCAAAACTTCTAGAGTTAGATGTGAAATAATAGTGGCATATAACTTTTAAGAAATCTCAAAAGTTCGTGACTGGTTTAAAGAAACAGGACCCATTGGGGTGATGTGTCTGAGCCACAGAGCTCCGTCCAAGGGCAGGCATCAAGGGCAGACAGACTTCTGGAGGAACTGTACACCTGAATGCATGTATTAGCAATCCAACCCCACAAAAAAATGACAGAAAACAAGTCACTCTCAGGCTACCCAAAACAAAACAAAAAAAAACCAACACCCATACAATCAAACAAAAGTGAACCAGAGGCTAACAAGGCAATAAAACATCTCATTTACAACAATTTCAGATATATCAACTTCTTTAATGGAATCTAAATCTTCCTGAGTACACACTCACCCATTTTCAAACCAGGATTGCTGTTCTGCTCTGTTCAGTTCCCCCAGGGCCCTCCCAGCACCGTCCACCACCAAAGCATCCAGGAAGCCAGCATCCTGAAGGCTTCCTTCCAACAGAGCACACCAGTGGGCATCCCTGCTGCTCAGGCACCCTCTGCTGGGCTGTCAGCCACCTCATGCACTTGTGCGCACAGGCACGTGCACATGAAAGTGTAAGACACGAAGTGCTTCAGAGCCCCCACCTTTGTGCACTCAGGTATCAGTGTCCCATTAAGTTTCCTCCTCAGATTTTCCCATGGTGCTTCTAAAAAGATTTCCAAGGTCAAACAGATCACTGATTATTCTAAACACTTCAACCAAATAACCAAAACAACCAATGCTTAGTATTTCTGCCCAGACCTTTTTGACATAATCACTGATTTAAAAAGTAAGCTAAAGAATAAATGCCGTATTTTTTGGTGGATCTCAATTTTGTTTAAAAGAAGCTAAACTCATTATTCTCAAAGATGTTTGGAAATGACCAACTGGATCCCTTTGAAAGAACTAATAAGAGGAACTTCTTGCATAAATAAAAGAAACATGAAGTGCCTTGGTAGACAGCATGAGGAGATAAGCTCAAAGAAATTAAAACAGAATTCTGCAATCTTGGAACAAGCCCACAAATTCAGTAGAGCTGGTTAAAGGTTTTCTCATTCTCAAACGATTCTCCATGTTTTCATTATTGCTAGGAAGTTAAGAACAGTTCAGGAGTACTTTGTTTAGTGTCATTATAACATTTCAAAACTGCGTGTTTAGCCAAAAAGTGCTGCATTCCCAATTTTTAAATTCCCTACATCAACCCATGTACCCTAGACTCCCAAACGGCCATGCTGCCCCGATACCCAGGGGGTTCAGACACATCGGACGTGGGTCTTCCCATTAAGAATACATTTTCTTCCATCGAGGTGCCCACTTTCTTCCCATTTGCACCGGCTCAGGTTTCAAAGAGTTTGCTGAATGCAGGTCCAATTTCTGCAATCATGGTGGTGGTGGTGGTGGAGCGGCCGTGCTTCTGGAAGGCTTGGTGGTTGCACTGCCTTGTGAGGGAGCACGCACCAAAGGCAGCCACGAGGAGGGGGCTGAAACTGGAGGACAGAGGCGTTAGCAAGGCACTGTGGGAGGTGGGACACTCCCCCTCATGGCTTTGTCAGACATCAGGGGCCAGAAGACAACAAAGGCCGCAATTTCCTTCCTGTTTCCACCCTGAGACCCCAAATTGGCCATTTCTAATCTGATACACCACTGAGGCAGGCAGAAGGTAGCTTTACTACAATTAAAATAACCATTAGCCCCCCTGATATTCATATTCCCTGACAAAAGGCATATCAGAAGTACCTACCATCTGGAGAAAGGGTAGAACACAGTAGTTTCCCCTGGTGAAAACTGGAGCAGTACTCAGGGGTTCCAGTTTAGATGTGAGGGACTGACCACGATCTGGGAATGCAGGCTCTTCCTGTCACTACCAGACTCCCACTACAGCTCTCCTTCCCCCACGCACACGCCCCTTGGGCCCACTTGGGTGGGTGCTCCCTGCCTGCCAGATGTGCCGTGACCTCACGAGCCCAGCACTGCTTTACCAGGTGTCAAGCAGGGCCCTCCAGGCCCAGGACGTCCCAACCTGGCATGTGCAGCCCCCATGAAGGGTGCAGAGAAGAGAAACGGGGGGGTTTGAAGAGGGGTGGGAACTGCTGGAATTCACTCATAAAGCTGTCATGAAACAGCAGACATGGGTCAAAGCCCAGATCTCAGAATTTTGCTGCCCCTTAAAGGAAACTCACCTTTCAGGACAGCATCTACTCAGGTAAGCTCTACCTCTGCCTGCATATTTTTTATTTTAATTTCCTGTTTTACAGCAAGTATGCATTGGACCCCCTAAAACAGTGTTCACAAACGTGGCCACACATCAGCGTTAACGGGAGAGCTTTAAAGGCTAGGGGTGCCCCCGAGCCCATCGGCACCCAGTGATAGGACGGGGCCCAGACGTATGGAGTAAAAGCTCCCCAGGTGAACGTCCTGGGATCAGCCCTGGAATCTCCTCCATGTAACAGTAACACCAATATTTCATTTGGAATGTTCCAAGCAGCCATGGATGAAAAGTATGGGCCACTAAAACAGCTTACACAGTCCAAAAATTTCAAAGCAGGACAGATGAAGATGTGGCCATACCCGTTTGTCTTCTCAGGTCCGGCGTGGAGTGCCCAGTGCACCAGGACGCCCAGGGAGCCAGACAGGAGGTCTCCTTGCCCACCACACCTGCGGTTACTGCCCTGCAGGCTGCACTCGAGCACTGCGGAGCAGAAGTGAGATGGGTGTTAGAGCGAGGACTGTTCCAGGTCATCCACAGGTCTTCCTCAGTTGTTCCTAACAAGGAAGTCTGTCTTTTACAAGGACAGGAAACCGAGGCAGGCAGAAGTCGGGCTGCCCAGAAGAACCTGTTTAGTATGGTGGTCAGCAGACCTATGGCTCAGAACCACGGAGGATATGCTAGGAGAGGTCGGAAGAACACGCAGGCTGTCCGTCCTGCAGGCTCTGGACCTCTCACACTCCAGCGGGTCCACCTTCAAGGAGACACGCACAGCACTCGCGCCCCTGTCCGCACACAGGTGGTAACCCTCATGACTTCATGCTGTGTAATGAGGAATTCCTGTCTTGGAAACAGGTTGTTATATGGTCCAAGCATGTTAGAGTCTAGGGCACCTTCTAGCAATAAAAGAGCCCAAAAGCTTCAGGACCCCCCAGAGACACTCACTCCATTTCCTGCCCAGCCTAAGAAAGAGACAAAGTCAGACAGACATGACTAAAGGAGCCTTCTGTTCTCTGTTGATCCTGACTTCTATGACCTTGACAGACACTCTTTACCTAGGTGACAGTTCTTTGCATTAAATTCTCTGTCAAAAGAACTGGTGTACACTTTGCCTCCAGATCAGATTTTTCTGTTTTCAGGGAGCTGGAGAGGTTATACTCCTCTGATTATGCACCGTGTAGATACGAGTAAATGCTGACAGCCATCTGGCTCTCACTCGACAGGCCACAGGCTTCCGTGGAAAGAATGTGACTGAAAGATTTGCCACATTCAGCACCTAGTAATTCCCACTAGCATCAGCTCTGAGGGTTTTTTTCACTTTTAAGTCATTTTCATAAACTAGGACAAAACACAGTAAAATATTCAAATAAATTCATTTATGCTGCAGGCAAGACAGAGGTGGCAGGTCGAGGACTCTGGAGCACCACCTGCTGTTCCAGTCGCCTGCCCACTGGGCTGCTTCTTATATCATTAACAGAACTTTAGCCACTGCACCTGGTATCAACTAAGATCAGCACTGATGACTGCCACTTCCCTTTGTAAAACAGTGAGAAATAAAAATGGACTTTGAAGAAGTTGTGATTAACAAGCTGATCAGGAAGTCCCTGTTTGTGGAACATGTGATGCATATGATGCGTGAGCATGTAAGATATGAGGGACCACATGTGATGTGCAAATGTGTGACACATTGTGCACCAGTACTGTGTGTGAATGAGGTTTTCTTAAGGCTTGTACCCAACATGGCCACACCAGGTGAAGCCCAAAGCCACTCACCCTGTTTGCCGTCAGAGATCACATCCTGCTCCCCTTTCTGGACCACGGTCACATTCCCCAGGGCCTGGCTGAGTCTCAGCACAGCTCCACGGCGATCACTGCCATCCACAGGCTCTCTCAGCTACAATGCAGGACCACAAACAAAGCTGTCAAAGACACTTAAAAAGAGCCCACAAACATGGATAACAATGAATACCCTGCCCCATCCATCCTGAACCTCAGACTCTCATATCTAAGGGACTCCCCCAGGCACGAGATGGCCCCACACACAAAAACACATGTTCCATCCACCAGCTGGAAAGAGGCCCAGGACATCACAGGCAGAAAGTCCTCCAGGTGGATGCCAACACAGGGGCTGGAGGCAGAAATGCTCTGGTGCCCATCCCCTACCTTGTTAGGCCAATGGTAAAGAACACCACTGCTCATGGCTGGGATTTTAAAGGTTTGCAGAAGGGATTCAACTTTGAATGATAATACGCTAACATTCATGGGGCACTTGATATGTAAAGACTCATGAATTTAGATATGAGGTCTATCTGGAAAAACTCCAGCCACTGTTAATATAACAAGAACGATTTGCATGACATTGATGGAAACTGGCAGCCAAGGAGAGTGGACTGGAAAGTGCATGTGTGAACAATGACAACTTCACTAGACTAGTCAGTGGCGGTGGTAGACGCTGTTGAGTGAGCATGTGCACTGTGTGGCCGTCCCATTCAAAATGACTGAGTACAGCAATGAATCTGCATCAAACTTTGCATGAAGCTTGAACATTCCTCCATGGAAACTATTAGGATGATTCAAAAGGCCACAGCTATGGGCAACTGGTGATTGGCAGCTTCATCAAGACAATGTACCCTCTCATGCATCACACCTTGTGCAAAGTTTTTTGGCAAAACATCAAATCACCCAGGCGACTCAGCCCCTCTATGGCCCAGATTTGGCATTTGGTACCCTGTGACTTGTGGATTTTCCCAAAACTAAAATCACCTTTGAAAGGGAAGAGATTTCAGATCATCAATGAGATTCAAGAAAATATGATGGGGTAGCAGATGTGTGAGGTCCCTAGGTGCCTACTTTGAAGGGACTAAGGCATCACTGTCCTATGTACAATTTTTCTTGTATCTTGTATTATCTTTAATAAATGTCTTTTTTTCATATTACATGTCTGGATACCCTCTGGACAGACCTCACATATTATTTCATTTCATCCTCACATGCCCTATGAGGCAGATGTTACCATTATCCACATTTCAGACGAGGTAATGCAAGGTAAGGATGGAGTCATCTGCATAGAGAATACAGCATGGGGGTCGGACGGACCTGAGCCCACAACCCTGCCTTTCATCCAATCAAAGATGCACTGATTGGAAGATACCCCATCATTACCTGTGCCACCAAAGGGGGAAAAACACTGTTAATGTGTGAAAATGCATCACAGAATATGCATGCATCCACTCAACATCTCCAAGTCTGTCCCTACAGATGCACGGGCAGGGACCGGTGGGTGCATAACCTCAGAGCGTGTCCCCGCCCCTCCTCAGGATATGGAGGGTTTGCACCCTGTCTTTCACATGGTCCACAAACTCACCACAGCTTCACAGAGTCTGATGAACTCCATGTGGTTGGGCGTGAGAACAGCCTTCTGGTAGTCTTGGATGAGGGCTGGCTGCTGGGCAATCAGCCACAGCCCATCCTGCACAAAACAAGGACTCCCATTTACTGCATGGCCTTGGGCACCTGGCTGGGAGGAGGGGACAGGAGAGGACAGGCCACACTCACTGCATCAATGATGATGGGGATGGCTCTGGCCTTTGATGCTTCTAAAATGCCCTGCGAGAAAAGAAAGCTATGTTCAGCAACAAGGACATACCAGAAAACCAAGCAGTTCCTTGACCAATTTCAACATCAGTTTATCAACAAATAGATGTCCCTTTGTAAGGCAGGGCCCAGGTCACTCTGAAAACATAAGCCCATGGGCAACATTACACACAGCACTGGGTCCCAGGCTGGCCCATGAAGGACAACCTCAAGCTGGCATCTCCAAACTTCCAATGGACATCAGTCCTCAGGATTCAGAAATGAGAAATCTGAAGTCTTGGGAAGTCCCCAAATCATCAGCTTTTATATATTTTTCATAATACTTCTTGTGTTTTACAATAATGAATCACCATCATAATACACACAAAAGCACAGGTCTCTGAAAAGGTTATACTGAATGTTTCAGAGGTTTTATGCTGAAAAAATTATATACAGGTTGGGGCAAAAAATAGGTTTACAGTTGTGAATATGAGAAATAGAGTTTATCTTGTATTATTATTTATTAACTGTATTATTTTCCACACAAATAACTGTAAACCTTTTTTGCCCCACCCTGTATATACAATCAGCACATGGCCGCTTATTATGATGAACCAATGTAACATTATATACTGCAACAGCATATAAAAATGATCTCTAGCTGATACGCTTGATAGAAAACATTAAGAGAATAAAACAAAATGTATGGTAAGCAGAAATAACTTAAAAAACTGAAAGATAAATGCACACATATTTAATTAAGTTATAATCCTGAAAGGAAACGTGAAACCCCACAGAGCACGAGCTGCCATGTCCCACAGTCCCAGCTGCATTTTGCTGACACTGGTCAGAGCATCAGGATCATTTTCAAAAGCCCCTTCAAAGAGATACCAGGGTAGAGGAGCCTCATAGAAGCCCATTTCCGACTTTAACAATGAAAATACTCTGCTTCCCTTTAGTTTGGCTTGCCTATTAAAACTGATTTGGATTTTGCTAATTCAGATTTTTTGATCTTTGGTTTCGTGTTGCAGTGTTTAGCCACAACACTGATATCTTCACCTCTTTGTATTTTTTCTATTAAAGTTCTTACAAAAAATAGTAGCCTAAAGTGAGTACTCAAACACTGGGAAATGTATTTGAATATATAACATCATAAAACACTCAGATCTCCTGGCACAGTTAAGAGCACCAAACAGAGTTACGCATCCAAGTCACCCATTTAACGACTGACTTGCTTCCATCACTCAGAGGATTTGTATGAAGTGCACTGTCATTTAAACCTGTCAACGTTTCCTGCATTTGTGAGGATGGCTGATGTTAGCAGCAGTCAGCCAGGAGTACACACTTTGAACAAGGCAACAATTCCAGGTGAGACTGGCTGATGATATCACTACCACTCTCCAAAACTTCAGCCATCTAATAAATATTCTAACATAAAAAAGAGTGGCACAGGAATGAACAAGCCACACCCAGGTCAGAAAAGGCTGGAGGATGGTTGAGTGGCTGTGCAACATCTCTACTAAGACACAGCTAAAATAAAACAAAAAGCATTCCCGTGTAGGAGACCAGGCAGAAGTGAGGAGGAATGGCAGCACCCCAGAGCAGAGTCCTGGCGAGGGCAGCCTGTTGGTGGAACAGCGAATTGATAATAGATTCAGCAATTGAATCTGATTCAGCAACACAACTTGTAGAAAATTATCCTACAGAAAATATCTAAAAGAAATGGACAAATATATATATATATATATATATATATAGAGAGAGAGAGAGAGAGAGAGAGAGAGAGAGAGAGAGAGAGAGAGAGAAATGTTCAAGACATCAAGAATATAATAGGAAAAGCTGTAAATAGCCTAAAATATATTATACTATATATGCTATATATAGTATATTATGATGTAGCATTATAAATATATTATAGTGTATTATGATATAGCATTTCACCCCAAAGCAGCAAAATATATTCTTTTCAAATGCACATGGATCATTTTCAAAGGTAAACCACATGGTAGGACAAAAAACAAGCCTCAATAAATTCAAGAAAACTGAAATCATCATCAAGCATCTTCCCAGATCACAATGGCTTGACACTAGAAACCAACCTCAAGGAAAAAACTCAAAAACATTCAAATAAATGGAAACTGAAGAATATATTATTAAACAATGAATGGTTAACAATGAGATTGAGGAAGAAATTGAAAAGTACCTGGAAACAAATGAAAACACACACACAACAACCCAAAACCAGCTGTGTTAAAAATGGGACACGGCAAAGGCAGTCCCTGAGAGGGAAATTTATATCAATACAGGCCTACCTAAAGAAGACCAAAAAATCTCAAATAAACAAACACTACATCTAAAAGAACTAGAGGAACAACAACAAAGTCCGGAGTAGAAAGAAGGAAATAATCATGTTCAGAGCAGGATTAAATAACATAGAATTAAAAAAAAAACAATTCAAAGGATCAATGAATCCAGGAGCTGGTTCTTTGAAAAGATAAACAAAATTGACAAACCTTTAACAAAAATCAGCAATAAAAAAAGAGAGATGACTCAAATAGATAAAACCAGAAACCAAAATGGAAAAGTAACAACTGACACCACAGAAATACTAAGGATTATAAGAAATTACTATGAACAACTATATGCCATGAAACTGGACAACCTGGGTGAAATGGATAAATTTCTAGAAACATACAATCTTCCAAAAGTGAATTAAGAAGAATAAGAAAGCCTGATTAGACCAGTAACAGCTTGTGAAATAGAAGCAGTAATCAAAAAACTCGTGGCACACAAAAGCCCTGGGCCAGATGGCTTCACAGGCGAATTTTACCAAACATTCAAAGAAGAACTAACTCCTATTCTTCTCAAACTATTCCAAAAAATTCAAGAAGAGGGAAGACTCCCAAACTCTTTTTATGAGGCCAGGATTATCCTAATTTGAAAACCAGGTGAAGACACAACAAAGAAAGAAAATTGCAGGCCAATACATAGATGCTAAAATCCTCCACAAAATGTTGGCAATCTGTATCAAGCAATACATTAAAAAGATCCTACACTATGATCAAGTAGGATTTAAAACAGGAATGCAAGGATGGTACAGTATTTGCAAATCAATAAACATAATACAGTCCTGACTGGCATAGCTCAGAGGATTGAGTGCTGGCCTCCAAACCCAAAAATTACTGGTTCAATTCCCAATCAAGGCACATGCCTAGGTTTCAGGCTGGATCTCTAGTTGGGGGGTTTCTTGAGAGGCAACCACACGTTGATGTTTCTCCCTTCTCTGCCTCTCTCCCTTCCCTTCTCTAAAAATAAATAAATGAAATATTAAAAAAATAACACAGTACACCACATAAACAAAATAAAGGACAAAAACCACATGATCCTTATCAATAGATACTGAAAAAGCATTTGATAAAATCCAGCACCCATTTATGATAAAAACACTCAGCAAAATGAGAATAGAGGGAGCATACTTCAACAAAATAAAGGCATCATACTCAATGGGCAAAAACTAAAAGCTTCTCCCTTTAATATCAGGAAAAAGACAAGGGTGTCTGCTTTCACCACTCTTATTCAACACAGTACTAGAAGTTCTAGCTACAGTGACAGACAGGAGAAAGAAAAAAAAGGCACCCAAATTGGAAAGAAGGAAGTAAAACTGTCATTGTTTGCAGATGACATGATAGTGTACATAGAAAACCCTATAGACTCCACCAAAAAACTACTGCACCTAATAAGTGAATTTGGCAAAGTAGAGGGATATAAAGTCAATATTCAGAAATTGATGGCATTTCTGTATACCAATAATGAATTATCAGAAATAGAAACTAAGGGAAAAAAATCCCATTGAACAATGGAACTGTTAAATCCCATAGCTAAAAATCCCATAGCAACAAGAAAAATTAAGTACCTAGGAATAAATTTAACCAAGGAGATAAAACACTTGTACTCAGAAAACTACAGAATACTGAAGAAAGAAACTGAGGAAGATACAAATAAATGGAAGCATATACCCTGTACGTGGACTAGAAGAATTAACATCATTAAAATGTCCATGCCACCCAAAGCAATCTATAAATTCAATGTAATCCCTATGCACTGAAATACCAATGGCATATTTCATTGATCTACAGCAAACTCTTCAAAAATTTATATGGAAGCAAAAAAGGCCCCAAATAGCCTGAGTAATCTTGAGAAGAAAAAAAGTTGGAGGGATCACTATACCTGATATAAAACTATACTACAAGGCCACTGTAATCAGAACAGTCTGGTAATGGAGTAAGAACAGACACATAGATCAGTGGAACAGAATAGAGAGCTCAGAAATAAACCCATGTCTCTGTGATCAATTAATATTTGACAAAGGGAGCATGATCCTTCAATGGAGTAAAAATAGGCTCCTTAATAAGTGGTGTTAGGAGAACTGGACTGGTACGTGCAAAAAAAATGAAATTAGACCACCAACTTACACAATACAACAAAATAAACTCAAAATGGATAAAAGACTTAAATGTAAGTTGTGATACCATAAAAGTTCTAGCAGAAAATATAGGCAGTAAAATTTCAGATATTCTATGTAGCAATATTTTTGCCAATATACCTCCTAGGGCAAGGGAAACAAAGGAAAAAAAATAAACAAATGGTACTACATCCAATTAAAAAGCTTCTGCATGGCTAAAGAAACCATCACCAAAATGAAGGGAACCAACCATATGGGAAAACATATTTGCCAATGATACAATGGATGAGGGTTTAAGCTCCAAAATATATAAAGAACTCAACACTAGGAAGTCAAACAATCCAACTAAAAAATGGGCAAAGGTCATGAATAGATACTTCTCCAAGGAGGACATACAGAGGGCCCACAAATATGTGAAAAGATGCTCAACATCATTAGCCATCAAAGAGATGCAAATTAAAACCACAGTGAGATCACCTCATACCCGCCAGAATGGCCATCATTAATAAATCAACAAACAAGACCTGGCGAGGAGGCAGAGAAAGGGAACCCTAGTGCACTGTTGATGGGA